AAGAAAAAGACGAAAATCGTCTTACCAGCCTCGTACCTGATCTACTGGCTAAGGAGATTTTCAAAAAAATGCCCTACGATTGCACGTATAGTGTTGAGTAATTTTTCTTCATAATTTTCCAGTAAATTAAAAGAATTTTTTAAGTAATAATTAACTACAAGAGTCAAAGAAAATCAATTTCAATATACATGTAGCTCTGGTAATTTTATCGCCACGCGAGAACCGCGATGGATCGTAAAAAATCCGCATCATGCAAAAACCTAAGATTTCGCAAGTCATGTCCATGCGTAGGGGTATGTCGTAGCAGTAGAAAAACGGGAACAATTCCTCGGCTAAAACAAAACTACCACGGGTACGTGGCTCGAGGAGCGAAAATCTTTCTTCTCTAAAACAACCAGGAAGCAAGTGGGTAGTAAAGACGCGAGTCCATTGATACGAATAGCACTTTTTTTTTTTTTTGCTCCAAGCACGTACAAACTTTCACCGCAGCCGGGTCTGTACTGTTCGCACAAGGTCCACCGGCTCGCCTAATGATCGGCCAACAATTTCCCTCTGCTCTCCGGAATGCGGGGTCTCGTTAGCTCGGTGGCTCTTTCGCGCTGTACGTTAGAATTCATTACCATTTGCGGAGGAGAAAAATTTTGACATCTCTGTGTGCGTCTCTCTTGTTGGAAGCGGAAAATGCGCGGTTTCGGTGATTACGTTCGGCCGATTTTCGTGAGTTTCGAGATCTGCGGACGGAGAGCTGATTGAGCCAGAGATGATAATTGACGGTTTTCGGGGGCACGTATAATTGGACTGGGAGTGGTTTGTACCTCTGTATTCGTGGGAGTCTTTTTTTCCAAAACACCGCGACGTCAAGCTGACGAGGTCTAATTTCGAGTGGTTGCATTTGTAAAAGGGAACGGCTGCCCGAAAGTGGGCACGCACCTCATTTTCAATGAATTTTCCTTTTGTAAACTGAGCAGCAGTGGCACCTTTTCCTACATCTCCTTGGTCGGTAAAAAAAATGTAAAAAGATTATAATATTCGCGTGCATGGGGCGTGGGTCGTTTTGTTATATCGTCCCGAGTTGAGCAGAAACAATATCCCATTCTTTCGAAGCGCCACACTCGCAAATCTCCCTAATTGCAACGCCATCGCAGGTGTAAAAATTTCAACGGTCTTCCCCGTAAGAATAAATCCCCTGGCACTCTGATTATCCGAAAAATACGCAAACGCCAGACAGACTGAATATATTAGTTATCGGAAGTAAATGGCGCCCCATACTCTCGCGTTAGATCGCTACGGCCGATCTATCACTTTTCGGGTAATGTACTACCTTTCCGCGACGTGGTATTCCTTTCCCTCTCGTGTGTACGCGATACCGCACACGTCGCTCCCACGCACCGCGACATTTCCGCGTAGCTGGTAGGTACACGTGGACAGCACGCGCATGGCGTACCCGACGGATCTTCTGACAGTCTTCCAAGTCGTGCATAGTAGAGAGAGGAGCTAAATTAACGAGACGCGCGTACCGATACTGGCATCGAGCAAGTGACAGGTGTATGTATGTGGGTACCTTTAAACATGCACACGCAGCGCAGGTGACCACGGGGTGAACGTCCTTTCGAGATCGTCAGAGATCGGCAATGGGTGATAAGTGTCGTAATGCAAAGGAGGACGGTCTTTCTTTGCGCAGCTGTAGTCAATGGGCGATTAGTTTTCATGTGGTATCATCAAGTACGGGGTAATTGACTTTTTGGGAGATTCAACGAGAATAAGAGCCGAAATTCACGTAAGAAACGCGCCTATACGCGTCATTACGTTGGAATATTAAAATGAACACATTTACCGAACAATGTGAGAACGTCATTTATGAGCCGATTTGTCGTTACGTGACTGGATGATGCTTCGTCATCGTTGTTCCCCTTGTATTTTTCCATTTTCTTGGACAACGTGCATTTCACTAACGTTGAAAAAAAGGTCAATGATCAGACATAAAGTAACTTTTGTAATATACACCTGATTACATGCATTGTAAACTTGAGAAAGAGAAATTTGTCGTGCACTCTATTTTTTTCCCCCATGAATGAAGTGTCATCACTATAGCTATTGTGTAGGGAATTGAGTGTTCAGTGTACAGAATAGCATACACATTTATCTCTATTTATCTCCAAAGTGCATGATACCCGTGTACATACCAGGAGGATCACCATAATCAAACTCAATCCATCTGTATGAGAAATGCCGAGTGTATACAATCATTAATTCACCAGTTGTCTGTGGTAACGCGTATAAAATATACTTATCACGTATCGTGCACGTAATACATCATCTTGTCTACACACACGCACACACCAGCTATTATTAATTTCAACTGCAATTGCATATACTTTGTCATTAAAACTAATAACAACGGCAGGGGTAATCTAAACCCGCATCTAATCACCCGATGCAGCTATATATGTACACATAGGAATAAGTTAGCCCTGCTGTAAAAGCTATTAATTAAGTTTCCTTCGTACGCGCGGACGCAAAGCGAAGAAATTGCGCTCCCCCCGCCCCTTTTTTGCTCTCCGGCGCGAGTATAACGACCCGCGGGCTTCATTAACCGAACGGTCGCGGCTCTCGGCGAAAGCTTTCAAAACTTTTTCCACGACGACGACAGCGGTGGCGGACGTTTGGCCTTTTATAGAACACTTTGCGGCCGGTTGATCGTCTCTTTCCTAAAAGGCTTTCTTTCGGTGATGCATACTCGGGGACAGGGTACGCGTGTGCGCGCTGTAGGACACGCGGAATTTCGAAACAAATACAAAAGTTTTTTTTTTCGTCCTTTCGCGGCGTTTGGCAATTTTGCGGGTACACCTACGTATCTTTTGTTCTAAGGCTGCTTCTCGCGGGGATACAATGACGAAACCACGATCGGCTCGTTAAGTATCGAAGAGGGAAACGAGGCGTGCATGGGTGCAACGGCTTTCTGAAAATGAGGAACCGATTGTTTATACGATGGAGTTGGAAAAGTTTTTTTTTCATCGTTGGCCGTATAGAGGATAAACAGATATCTCTGAACTATCCGTGTTTGTTGACGTAGAAAGCGCCAACCGGTGATTCGTCACTTTACGCGCGTACAAAGGTGTGCGATGTACCTGTACTTTATTTGGTGAAATTTCTCTCTCCGATCGCACTGCGTGCCTGACCGTGAAATTCAAAAGAAATTTTCACTTTTTTTGTTGTCATCGTGCACTAGATACACGCATTCTATAGATGGTAAAAGTGTATACCGTACACTTTTTGACGTAAGCTTGAAAAAAAAGCGCCGAGTCTCGGATACTTGAGCACAATGGAGTGTCTGCTCAACCAATCGTACCTACAGAGGAAAAAGCCAGAGAAATCGAGATTACGCTTCTTCGCGTGAACTTGCTCGTTGAACCTTCCCGTCACGCGCGAGACCCTCCTCTCTTTGTTCTCCTTATCCAGTGTTTCTCTAATGCCTCGCGACGCGACACTGAACTCGACTCGACGACCGATTAATCGTTAAAATACAAAACAGAGAGAGAGAGAGAGAAATCGGCGGATTCGAGCGCGTCAAAAATAGTCTCGTGCACGCGCGATCGGCCGATTTCTCTCTTGGCTCAAGTCTACGTACAGCCGAGAAAGTACCATTATCTCGTTATTAGAATTAATATCGAACGAGAGTCTGTCTCTTCGTACGAGTCGCTGTTAAATTGAACGCAACTTACTTGTACTTATCGCGGACAAGTTCGGCGAACTGGTCGATGAAGCAAAACAAATAACAGACGAAACAATGGATGAATTAATTATATATGCGCATTTTAATTCAGCGCCGAGTGTTCCAAGGCTCACTTGCCGGCAATCATCACAGGTGCTGTACCGAGAAATCAAATTTCGCGCGAAGCCGATCCGTGGGTGTATTCCATTACCGATCTGCGATCGCGAGAGGATGAACTCAGCAATCCTCGGCTTCTCTGAAAAAAAAATCGTTCGCCAACGCGAGACACTATCCTTTTTTTTTTTTTTTTAAGTGGACAACAATGAAATTACAAAGGGACGAGCGCGTATTGCTTCTCCTTCGTACACTCGGTCACGCGCTTTCTTCCGATTTCACGATCGCGACGGCTTGCGTACCTGCAGTTTTCTTTGCGGTCTCTCTGTCAGGCGCGCACTTTTTGACTCGTGATTCGATTGTTGGGAGCAACTTTCGAGACTTTCGCGCGTGTAATAGCCAACGGACGAGGGCAGAGGCTGTTTCAGTCGGAGTTTATCGTCCGCCAGCTGCCGTATATATATAGGACGGCGGGGTATGCGAGAGCTCTAGCGCGGAAGATTTGTTTTTACGATCAGTTTGCCCCGAATGAGGTATGACTGTGGGTTACGAGAAGAGCCGAGGTGCTCGAGGATGTGGGTCGCGACAGGTTTACGGGCTGACCGACTGACATGAAATTTTGCAAGAACTGTCTAGCTTTTGTTCAATATTTTTTATGGTGTATAGCGCGAAAACTGCGGGACGCAAACGCCGCCGATTTTTTTTTTTTTTTTTTTTCTTATGTTCAAACGTTTATTTTTTGGTGTTGAACAAACATTAAAATTGATTTTTAAGGTACTTCGAGTGGTATGTGTATTTATGTGCATAAGTATATTAACACAATACTAGATTAATTAGGCTATGAATATAAAAAAAAATGTACATCCAATTCAAATTTCGTGGATAGTAGCTTGATTTTTTACATCACAACCTGGTAGTTTGAAACTCAACAGAATAAGTACAGGACTCTTGCAAAGTCTGGTTTTGTTGTACAACAAATTGTATAAATCTAATTGTTACTATGTTGGCATTTATGTTCTCTGAAAAGAAAAACAAAGAATATTATGTTTGCTGCGGCAAGGTTTATTCCTCAAGTAAAAATAATCATACTTCTCCCTTTGTCAGCAGCTCACAGAGATCGGTAGCGAATAAGAACAGAGGGAAAGAAAAAAAAAAAAAAAAAGCAAAAAAGGAAATGCACCGGCTGTGCCTGCTGCTCGGGGCAGCCGCGCTCTGCGCCGCCCAGTACGACAACATCGAGTCACGCTCGGTCGCCTACCCGAGCAAATCAAGCCTGGGCCAACTGTACAGTAGCTTCGGTGGCTCGCCCGGCTACCGCGACAACAGCTACGAGGACAACGCCGTGACGCCTTCGCCCACGCCGATCTACCGACCCACTGGACAAACGGTGAGTACTTGATCTATATTTGTACACATGCGTGTGGTACTGACGAAAAAAATTGAAAAATCGGTTTTCCATCGATTTTTCAGGTCTACAGAAAACCGACGATCGACGCGTCCCGGGAGTACCAGACGCCCGTGAGGCTAACCCAACAGCAGCGAGAGCAAATCCGCGGCGGCCGACCCCAACAGTTCACAAAGAACGGAAAGGTACATATTATGCACTGGTACACATAAACGCAAATGCAATCAATTGTTTCCCGCGAACCCTCTTGGTATATCCTCCGCTGGAAACCCGTCCGCAACCTAAAAATCTGACCAATATGACCCACAGCTCGAAGAGGAGCTGGAAGAGGAAAAGGACGAACCCGACCGGTTGAGCTTGCTGCTGCCCCAGAGCAAGTTCGACTGCGTTGGCAAACAGACCGGCTACTACGCCGACGAGGAGCTCAACTGCGAGGTCTTCCACTACTGCCAGGACAATGCCAGGCACTCCTGGATCTGCCCTGAGGGCTTCACCTTCCATCAGGTCATTATTTACTTTATTTGTACAAATCTGCGGGCTTTTTTTTTTTTTTTTTTTTTTTTTTTGCGGTCCCTCGAATAACACAATTCATTGAAACGCGATCAAAGTGATCGGTATTGCAAATAAAGCAACACCCGATGAGCAATGATATTGTAACCCGCGATCGAAATGAACGCAGGTCCACCTGATTTGCATGCCACCGAACGGGGACATAAACTGCAAGAAGAGCTCGCAGTACCACTTTGTTAACGAGTACCTGTACAAGCCGCTCAACCTCGACGAGGCCGAGAGCAAGCCCAACGTCACGCTGCGGTACAGCGAGAGGTACTTCCCGTCCGACATTTACACGGACGAGCGAGAGAGCGGGGAGTACCGGTCAAGCTCGCCTGTTCGCCGACCGGTAAGTAAACACATCCGCCCGTCAATTTTCATACATACCGATCGATAAGTGAAATGATGAAAATGACGATCAGGTGTACGTGGCCCAGCACGCCATCCCGACGATCAACAGTATACCGAGTGGAGGCCGTCCACAGCCCTCGGCTTCGACGCCGCAGTACCGCCTCCCCGTGAACCAGGTGTTCCGCAGTCCCGAGGAGGTCAACATACCCTTGCAGCAGAGACGACCGCAGATACAGCCGCCCCAGGCCCTCAGGAGGTTCCCCGGGGTCCGGCCCGAGGAGGAGGACTACTAGGCGTCCAAGTGTCTCTCTCGCAGTCGAGGCCGAGATTATCATTATTATTATTACTATTATTATTGTATTTTACCATTAACTCTAGATTATCTATCGGGAGAAACGTCAGGACTGGAGGAATGTCGATTTTTTTTTTTCTTTTCTTTTCTTTTCCGTCGTTTCGATCAAAGTATCGGAGTTAAAGTACTTTGATTCAGAATTGTCAAATTTTTGCACAAAATTCAACAAAACACACTCGCCAGTGAGAGGAAATCATCGAAAATTCCCTTACTATTTTCGTACCCATGTATCAGTCCGATCGGTATATATTTATACATACACACATCATTTACACGCATCGTCAAGTTACGCCGTGCATGTTTTTTTTTTTTTTTTTGTCTGACGTACTTACAAACATCTAATGTTATTTAATAATATATAATATACGATTTTATCGTTAAGTTTTTGAAAGTATAGTTTTATTCAATAACGATCGAAGCAGACGAACCGAGGAGTCGAAAGGGCCCATAGCCGCTACGTATATGTAAAACACGAAATTTGTTACAGCGATAACGTGTGGTTGTATATATAATATGTGTATTTCAATGTGTTGCGAAAGAGAAATCGAATAAGTATACGTTAAAGCGCGATCTTAATCATAAATAGTACAGTGCAGGGTATATTGTTTGTCGTATATATATATTATTTGCACCCGTACAAAAGGTGCGGCATATGTACATACGCTGCACTTTATGCCGTATGTTTACAAATATTGAGATACAAACGAATAAATAAACTGTTGCCGTGTTTTTCTTTTTTCCAACTGAACCTTGTATTATCATTTCTTCTTTTTCATCTCTCGTCCCGTGCTTACCTTTACGCTTCGCTACTTTTGCATAAATAACAACAATATATTATAATGACAGCTCTCGCAACGAGAGTTTGCGAATGAGTGGTTTCAAAATTAATTTCGCGTTCCAAAAAAAGCTCCAAAGCCTCTCTGCGCTCTCTAACGGCGACACCGTCAACTAAACATACATATCCGGGTGTTGTGCCGACAATATGGCGTCTGTTGTTACGGACGACAACCGACAATTACCGACTGCATCTCCCGCATCTTCCGCACACGCGTCTCTCTCTCTGCGAGATTTTCGTCCCACAAGTTTGCAACTCTCACCTTTTGTTTCCCCGCATCTCTTGTAAAATTGGCGCGTGGTTGGTGGTTCCGTCCATTCGTGGCATCTACTTCAGTTTTATCGTTTATAAGTACCCGTTAGACCGCAAACAAGAGTCCATTAATTCACCCTTTCTTTGAACAACAACATATTGTAGTCGCCACGCCACCAAGCCGAAATTGCCGACTTTGTCCTCGTCTCTCGTGCGCGTCGTCGCATGTTTTTGTAGCAAATAATATATTACGCAAAGTTTGTGCGTATAGGTGCGACGCGCTCAAGAAAAGGTTATATTGAACTAATTCAACGCTTACGCTAAAGTTGTTCATTTGCTGTTGGTAGACGTTCACACTAGTAATTTACTTTTTTGGATTTTTGGATCAAGTTTTTACATCTGATTACTAACTATAAAGAGCCATGGCCGCTGCGGCGGCTGCTGCGCTCCTCGACGAGCTCATGGGCAGGAACAGAAACGTTTTACCAAACGAAAAACCCAAGGAGCTCAACTGGGAGGACTCCGAGGTGAGTTGGTTCTTTCGTTGTCTTCTATATATCCTTTCCTACGTTTTCCAGTATTGAGTTTACTTTTGATTTTCGTTATTGCAAACAATCGTGATTGATTCGTTTTGCTCCACATTTCCCATCACGAGAGTTAACATGGATAAATGTTTTTAGTTCTGCAAGTTGTACCTCGTCAAATTCTGTCCACATGACTTGTTTGTTAATACAAGGGCAGATTTGGGAGCCTGCTTGAAAGTACATGACGATGAGGCCAGAGAATTGTATGAAAAAGCTCCCTACAGTTACCGCAAGCAACAGTACGAAGACGAGTTTATCAGATTTTGCCAAAGCATGCTCAACGAAGTGGAGAGAAAAATTGTCAAAGGCAAACAACGACTGGCCTTAATTGGGAGGACAGAAGCCGTGAGTAATAAGGATGTTTAGCAATGTGTAGTTTTATGAGAATTGAGCCTATTGAATGAATTCTTTCTTCACACAGCCAACATTGTCACCTGCTCAAACTCAAAAGAATGAAGAACAAATTACCTTGCTCTCGGAAAAAATTAACAAACTGGTGGAAGAAGCGGAACAGAGTGGAATTCAGGGCAATGTTGAACAGGCTCAAGGCTTGATGCGTTTGTGCGATCAATTAAAGGAAGAGAGGGAGACTTTGCGTAAATCCAACGACAATAGCCATTACAACCAAGTAAGCAATTTGCTGAGCTTATTCATACTTTTGAACAAACTAAAAATGATTGTTGTATTTATTTATACGTGTATATCTTTCATAATTCATTTCAGACTGCAGAATTAGCTGCTGCCCAAGAAAAACAAATGGAAGTCTGTGATGTTTGTGGCGCATTCCTTATCGTTGGCGATGCTCAACAACGAATTGATGATCATTTAATGGGTAAACAGCATGTGGGCTATGCCAGGTTGAAGAGTGCACTGCAAGAGATTCAGGTAAGCTTCCCAGATTTAACAGAAATGTTTTAAAAACTATCAGGATATTAATTAAATATTTTTCCAGGGCAAGCGAGAAAAACTAAGAGAAGAAAAAGATATGGAAAGAAAACGATCACGGGATGAAGAGGATAGACGACGAAGACATGACCGTGGCAGAGATCGGGAAAGAAGAGATAGGCACAGAGATAGAGCTGGAGATAAGGGAGGAGATAGAGGAGACAAAGGGGGAGATCATGATAGAGACAGACGTAGAAGAAAGGAGGAAGAAAAAAGATGTGACCCGCAAAGGTAAAAATTACACTGGAAACTTTAAAATTTTATGTATGCTCAAGCTTACGATTAAAAATTATATTTTCAGAAATTCTAAGCATCGAAGTAGAAGTAAGTCCAAAGAAAAGCACGATCGTCGAGATGAAGACAAAGATCGGCGCCATAAAGACCGAGGTTAGTACTCTGACTTATTTCGATTTTTGCTTGTCTCATGTTTAAATGATATTTTCATCTGAATTTTTGTTCTACAGGTAGTCATGATCATCATTCTAACCATCAAAATCGCAAACGACACCGATCCCGAAGTAGAAGTCACAAGTAACTACTCTTGATCGGTTAGTGAGTGAGCGAAAATTCAGGTATGCACTTTACAATTCACTTATTAACGTCTCAATTACTGTACAGATTGTTTTTCACCAGGTAAGTTTCATTAGCTGCATTTTTTAAACCAAAGTAGATTTTTTTTTTTTTTTTTCAACTCGTACTTTTCATTTCGATTGATATTCTACTTTTCTTGATTGATATTTTAACTTTTCATTCGATTTTCTATTTACATGAATTTTATTGTCAGTGTGTAACTCATTTACTAATAAAATTAAGAAAAAAAAGGTGCCTAGTTTAAAAACTTTGCACCTACATACAGTTCTTTTAATAACCAGTCGTACGCAAACGTATTGAGACGTTAAGCAAATAACCTTTAGAATTAAAACAAACAAACAAAAAATCCTATAATGTTACACAGAGCAAGGTAGGAGAAGGTATACCTACACTTGCCTCTACTCTCTTTTAGTCGTTGATAATGTATCTTTAGGTTGTACACGCAAATTTAATGATAAATACACCCCAAGGACAGCGGTAGATTGTTTTTGTAACGAATTTTAAAGCGGTTTAGAGCTATTATAACGGAGAGGATTAAACAGTGTGCCCACTTCTTCCAATAAACCAATGTGCCTCGACAGTGTGCTGAATATACAATCCTAAGCTTCTGCCTACGCACAAAAAATTCAGAGGTATTTATGGTGGAATGAATAATACCAAGAAAACAATGGCCTCTCTTTTTCAATTAAAGATTTCTAAATATTTTCAAAGCTGTTTAAAGCTCTCTTTGTAAAGTTTAAAGAGAGTTAACTTTTTTTTTTTTTTTTTTTTTTCAGACAAAAATTCAATCTTATGTGTAAATTGTATAATTCTCGTATGAGTAGCTTTCTTTGGTTACAGTTACATCATGTTTAGTTGTATTAATTGCTAAAATGACGTTTTATCACTCCAAAGCGTGTATATAATATGAAAAACAGAAGTTATAAATATTGAAAATACTTTCATCATTTTTAATATTTTGTTCCACAGTATAATACTTAATGGTAATTTATTGTTTCAATCATTCACATGTATCTGTTAATGAGTGATAAATATTCATTGTGTAATAAACGCTTATGTTTGCTTTTATCTAGAGCATCCAACATTAAAAAATAATTAACAACACAATTAACGCTCCGCCTTCGTGTTTTAAATGGTTCATATCTATTAAAACAGTTAGTCAGAAACAAGTGCTGATAAAGTACGTTAAGGAGGTTCGGTAGTGTTAGCGGGGGGAAATCTCACAGAGGCAAGGGGAGGGAGAGCGTCTGGCAACGTTGTGAATTTTTTTTTGGCTGCTGGCACGTCGTCTACTGTTGTTGTCGTCGTCTACTGATGACAGTGTACTTATTTCTTCGGTTGAATTTTTTATAATTAAATTTTCAATTATAAAAGGAGTTTTTCCTATTCATTTCATTTCAAAGCGCGCTCCAAAAGCAGCGTTGCCAAGTCGTCTGCTGCGAGCACATTTTTGCTGTTTTTTAATAGAAATTTGTGGTAGGGCTCTCTCAAACTTTGACAAAATATTATTTTGACAATATTCTTTCATTTAAAAAAAAAAAAAAGCAAGTTCATTTAGCCGTTTTTTTTTTATGTGAAATTTAAGTGATTTCTCCATAAGCCTACATGTTGTTTTTTCAGGTCAATATATCTTGAAAACGGTGTGGTTAAACCCTTCAAAAATTTAGCTGTAATTTGATACTATTATCCCAAATGACATATCGAAATTTCAAAAATTTTCATCATAAAAAATTATCACTACCGAACCTCCTTGTCAGAATTATGTAAATAAGAATAGGATAATATTAGACTTGTACTGAAATGGTTCATTTTTTTTTTTTTTTTTTTTTTTTGTAAGGTGGGTCTTGCACATAACATATAAATCAAAGGACAATCCCAGGTTTAGGGATCTTTCTTACATTTGCATGCATAAACTTCTATAAGTTGTTCACTAATATACATTTTGAGGATTATAGACTTATTGATCACTAAAAGTAATTAATTTCACATTATTTTTTAGAACTTAGGTAATTGGTTCATATAGTAAGAATCGTATTTAATAAATCGATAACTATAGTCATACAGTCGTGAATTTTCTTAAAAGAATCTGAAATATTTAATCGAAGTATGAATAAGCATTAAATTGAAGCCCATTAGAAACTTATTTGGAACATTTTGTACATCCAGGTATTTCTACTTCTTTACATTTTTATCTTACCAATATTAAACTGCGGTAAAAGATTTTTTTATCTAGTATGTAAGATTTGAATATAAGACATAAGAATTTCTAAGAAAAATACAATTTGAGCTCATGTGAGACCCATCTTAAAAAATTATTAAAAGATGAGTCAATCGAATTTTTCGTCACGTAAAATAAATGCATACGGTATTGATTACTGGATGTATTATTTTTTGTGGTGCTTAAAAAGACATCTTCATCAATTTTGATACGACACAGAACTAAATATGTTGACAAGTTTTAAAATTTTACTATGTATTCTAGAAGTGATGAACAGTAGATTAAGAATCTGTGTAAACAATTTTATTTTCTGGATAAATCAATATGTATTTGACAATACTATCCAATATTTGTTTCTACTCACAATGAACAACGCCAACTGTTTACTTTCAGGAAGATTAAAGCAGCCGAATACTCATACAACTTATAAGATTAGTTATGCATCAACAGCTGTACGATGAAGACAAAAGGAGTCAGACTATACTGGGGATCCAGTTAAAGGTAACGATTTTCCATACTATGGTTTGAGATTATACATAATGGGCAAGAACGTGGGATTCGGACGCAATCTCGGAATGATGTTTTCCTCCTCAAGACGAAACTAATGATGCGCGAATGTCGCTATTTTCACAATTTTTCATTCACTCAATTCAGATATACACATACTTATATATATATAATAATAAGTATGCGTGTTGTGAGATTAATTTTCGTCACTTCAATCAAACAATTTATTTTTTGATTTTTGTTACTCTGTTACCAATGCAACTTTTAATTTTTTCATTGTTTATTATCTGAATTGTAGTATTTGAACAATCTTGTTATAATAAAAGCTAAGTTTTGGACCTTCAGATGCTGTTTTAGTTTATTTATAACGAATAAATGAAAAAAATTTGTGTACCATAAATGATTTTTCTGTAAGCATAGAATAAAGGTCTTTTAATTCATGTCATTTTTTAATTGCCTCAAGTTATTACATGCCTAAATAAATTCAACCAAGGAGGATTGAATATAAAATGTAAGTGTTCCATGTAGAAATATTTTAGATAGTGTATCTAAATAAAGAATTACTAAAAAATAAAGGTGTCAGCTGGAAGATTGGCTACTTCAAAGCATTTATCAGATATATTTTTGTTATGTCTATAATCAAAGTTAGTAACTTTTGACCAGAGGCAACTTATTAAATTAACAAAACGTAGCTGAGATCTGTACAACGAAAATAATTTATTACATATATACATTTTAAATTCACAAAGATAAAAAAACTATTATAATACAAAAAAGTGTATCAATGACATCAAGATAAGTATAGTAATAATAATAATCCAGCCATTCCTAATACTGAGCTCATAGTAACATTTTTTCACGCATGATAAGATCAACTCCTTATAGTACAGTTAAGAGAAACGCACCATACCAAAGAGATCCTAACATGAAGTACCAAATCAGAGTCCAGCTGCTCTCGTTATTTGTTCATAAACCGTCCAAGCCATAGCTGTAACTAATGTTCTCCTGAGCATGCGAGGTACTATTCCCTTGAAGTATCCTAAGACACCGTATTTATAATAAATAAAAACGAATGATTGTCTCAACGTTTTGAATTCATGTGGATAGAGTTGCATTTTTGTTTTCACAACGTCTGCCGGATGTGTAACCACAGATGCGAGGATCCCGGCTATGACGCCGCAACTGAAGTGAGTAGTTGGAAAGTCACTGATGCGGGAAAATTCTACAAGAGAAATTTAATTTTTAAGATGGTCTAAAAATGCGAGTTTACAAGAGATGTGCGGTTCACTCATTAAAATAATATTTTTCAATACAAAAAAAAATTTTAACAAACTTACTACTCGAAGTGAACTCCCTTAGTTGGGTATAAAACATTAAATAAAGTCCGCTGTATGGCGCATCGCGTAAAATTGTTGGAACAAGGCCACTTGAAAGTCCTCTGAAACCTTCATGTTTATATATTAATTTAAGAGCTTCTCCTATGCTATTATATTTGTACATTCCACTCTGTAAACAAAAAAGTCATCCAAGTAAATCAGATTCACGGTTATTTTTCATAAAACCATCTAGTCAACGAAATATACCTCATATCTTGTTTTTACAACTGTTATTGGGATTAACACAGCTCCAGAAATCGTTCTTGCAGTTACACCAAGAGCAATAGCTTGGATGGGAGGAATTGGGCTGTCAATGTCTAATGCACTCCTTAACCAGTGAAGAGTTGAAAAATATAAACCAACTCCTGGAATCACTCTGGTCATTGACTGAAACGTAAAATATTTGTTTACTGATGTTGAATATATTCAATGATTTCAAATAGGGCAAAAGTCTTACATACAGGCGTGATGCCCCTCCATAGTGCAAAAATATTTTCTTTTTGTACGATGGAAATTGTGGTCGATATCATACCGCATTTTTGTTGTCTGCCGAATTGATGTTAATTTTAATATGGCAAGCTATTTAAAAATTTTTTGTTTATGGTACTCAACCTATTACTTACCCACAATGACTGTTTGCCCTGTTTTGAAGTCTTGTCTTAAGTAAATCAAGTGGTTGAAACAAAACAGTAGAAAAAGTACCAGAAAAAGAACCAGCAAGAAACGATTTCAATACAGGGTACTAAAAAAATAAATAATTATGGTATAACTATTAAATTATACTATTAATAGTTTTTAATTTCAAAGGTGATAAACTAATTTAAGAAAGTCGCAAAAAATATTTCTTTACGTCAGCAATCGTTGATAAAGGAAAGCCAAACTCAAACAAATATTATTCAAGATAAAACTTTTCCTTGGGGGGTACTCATATCACTCCGAAAATAGAATAACAAAAGCTCATGTTGTCAAGTTAATGTGGCATTGGACAGGGGGTAATCTGAGTAAATTTTCCTTTCAATAAATTATATTTTTCATGTCAATGTTACTGATTTGACAAATTTTCTCTGATAAAATTGAATAATGCGTGCATGATAAGGGTAAGTAATTCAGTTTATTATTTTTTAAAAATGGATCAAGTTAACTTATCTTTAAGATTTCCATTGAAAATCGGAGATTTTTCGTAATGGTTTAAAGTTTCAAAAACTTTATAAAGTACAATTTATTTAATTCACATTCCTATGGCTGAATACCAAATTATTTTAGAACTTTTACAGCACTTACAGTCCCTAAAGATTCCATGGTCAAGTCAGGTAATCAATTCGAAACAAAAAAAAAAAAAATTCAACCAATGCAAACGTTAAAACTTCATTTCAAGCTCTTAGGTGACTGCCAGAATACTGACTAAAACAAGAGAGCAGCTTCTGATACTTACATCAGTTGTTATCTCCGTTTCCTTACTTTTAAGGTCAGCTGTACGATATTGCATATCAAAACATTCCACAACTTTAAAAGGTAATTTACTGATAAAACAATAATGGCAAACGTTATTTATGGGAAGATTAAAACATCATCTTGACAAAAAATTTTTCTCTGTAAGAAAACACACTAAGTAGGATTAAGTTCTTTTTCATAATTTTAATTCAAAATTCTTTTAATCAAATATTTTATTCTGTTATCATAAAATATTCATATTTGAATAAAAATACAAGCATTAAATATTTACAATTAAACATTTACTAGTTTGTTCCTAATACAATCAGTTAATTAAAAATGGTTTATTGTTTCAGACTCTTTAAAAGTTAAAAAATAGTAAATATCTTAACTAAATGTATCATATCTTACAAATATTTTTTGGAATATGTTTGACAAGTCATCATATACATAGGTTATACATGACTAATCACTGATCATTCAACTCTTTACTTCACCAACTCTTAAAAATGCTAACTATTTGTACTAAAAACGAAACTTTATATTTTTGCCATGAAATAAGTAATTAGCATACTTTCATGATGGAACATACAATATTGAATAGTATTAACATTGAAGAGAAAACTGATGTTTAAAATGATCACTTTTCGTTGCTCCAACGATAACCGCGATATTTATCATGATTTTATTACAGATTTGTGTGTAGTAGCTTAGAGAAGAGAAGATATGGAGTACTAAAGACAACTAATACTGTACTTATCGGCTTGTCCCTTGCCTGAGCCGTTTTGTAATATTAATACTTGCAACATTAATTTTTATATTAGCGTTAAATAGAGAATGTACCAAATTATTACGTAAATAATACACATTTTTTATTGTCAAATCACTTAAATTGAGTATTAGTTTTCTTAGGCTTACGAAAATATTTACATTTTTCGAAAGCAGCTTTATACAAGTACACCTCTGTAGTAACAACGTCGTTCTGAAATCATTTATTTTGTGGACAATCTTTGTCATATAATCATGATTAGCAAAATAACTTGATTTCTCAAGAGGAAAATGCTGGGAAAAACACTGATGATTTGCTGATTAAATAATTTTTGAAAAAAGCTGTGTTAAAAACAAGTTGTTTGTTAAAAAAATGATAAAAATTATTTTTGCTTTGTTAGTGTGTGATTTTTTTCAGTTTGTCACAATACGTGAGCTAATGATGAAGGAAAAACTGTTACAAACTAATATAAAGTATCAGATCGATGACTGATTATTATTTTATCATTCTGTTAAAAAGAGCACGGTGTAAGATATTCGTAAAGTTATGTGTAGTAATTTTAGTATAATCACTGTAAGTAGCGCCACATGATCGATTTTATTAAATTATATAAGTATATAGAATATCTCTACTTTTGGAGGTCAATTTTCGAATAAACGATATATTGTAAACTTGCCGTAAATAATACAAATAATAAAAACTTTTCATTGTATACTTACAAGATTAGTTGCGGCTGGTTTATGGTTGATTACATGACTATTGTAATAGTTAGTAATGATTTTTTGGATCAGCGCCATCTAGCGTTGCGGATTTCTGAACTAAAAAGTAGCCCTAAAATTCTCAAGGAGAGCTTTAGCGTTTAGAGATACTTACCTTATTATAAACCAGCCGCAACTTATTGTGTAGCTATAAAATGAAAAAATAATTATACATGTGTTTTTGGCGGCAAGTTAGCAATCTATTTTCTACCAAAAAATTGACCTCCTATGTATTTATACTTTTGAAGATTAATTTTCGAGTGAAAGATAGATTGTTAACTTGCCGCCAAAAACACATGTATAATTATTTTTTTATTTTATAGCAACAAAATAAGTTGCGGCTGGTTTATAATAGGCAAAGTGGCTCTAAGCGCTAAAGCTCTGGTTCAAAAGTTTAGGGCCACTTTTTAGTTCAGAAATCCGCAACGCTAGATGGCGCTGTTCAAAAAAAATTTTTACTCTTATCACAGTAGGGTCGTGTAATAAATTATAAACCAGCCGCAATTAATTTTGTTAGTACAAAATAAAAAGTTAACGTTATTTGTACTATTTGCGGCAAGTTTGCAATTTACGTTTTATCCGAAAGTATAAATATGTAGGAGGTCGATATTTGGGTAAAAGATAAATTACAAACTTGCCGCAAATAGTACAAATACCGTTAACTTTTTATTTTGTACTAACAAAATTAATTGCGGCTGGTTTATAATTTATTACACGACCCTACTGTGATAAGAGTAAAAATTTTTTTGAACAGCGCTATCTAGCGTTGCGGATTTCTGAACTAAAAAGTGGCCCTAAACTTTTGAACCAGAGCTTTAGCGCTTGGAGCCACTTAATCTATTATAAACCAGCCGCAACTTATTTTGTTGCTATAAAATAAAAAAATAATTATACGTGTGTTTTTGGCGGCAAGTTAACAATCTATCTTTTACTCGAAAATTAATCTTCAAAAGTATAAATACATAGGAGGTCAATTTTTTGGTAGAAAATAGATTGCTAACTTGCCGCCAAAAACACATGTATAATTATTTTTTCATTTTATAGCTACACAATAAGTTGCGGCTGGTTTATAATAAGGTAAGTATCTCTAAACGCTAAAGCTCTCCTTGAGAATTTTAGGGCTACTTTTTAGTTCAGAAATCCGCAACGCTAGATGGCGCTGATCCAAAAAATCATTACTAACTATTACAATAGTCATGTAATCAACCATAAACCAGCCGCAACTAATCTGGTAAGTATAAAATAATAATTTGACATTGTTTGTGCTGTTTGCGGCAAGTTTACAATCTATCTTTAATCTGAAAATTGATTACTAAACCCCTAAAGCTCTGATTCAGCAGGGCTGATTACCTATCGCTGACCGTCAGTGTATAGTTACAATCTAGTGACTTTTCTAGTGTTTTTTCTAGAGTGAATCGCTAGATTTTATAGGTCGGACTTGGTTCTTAGAGAATATGTAAGTATATATATATAGTATAAGTCCTTAGAGAATATATACTTACACATGGTCGTATCGTTGTGAAAATATCAACGCTAGATGACGCTGATCTTAAATTTTTTATGTCTCGGTTTTTCACGCTTCGCGCCTCCGCCTCGTACTCTCGTCGTTCACTTCCATCGATACCATTAGAGCGGTATAGTGTACTGTGGTCGTCGTTAAATTAACACGTAAGTTAATCGTATTTTGCTATTTTATTTTTTTGTTATCCACAAACAAGGCATGAGTTCAAGTCTATAATTTTGAGTTGTTTGTAAACTTTTGGAAATCGAGTTTGAAATGAGTGCATTCAGAGGTCTCATTGTCGACCTTCAGACGGCCACGTGTTTTGTTCCGTATCAATTTTAACACTGTTTATACAGAATTTGCTTACAATAAAATTATTTTCAATAATTTTCAAGTATAAAATATACGTCTAACACAATTGTCTGAACTTTTTTGATAACTTTTATAACTGTGATTTTGAGGTTAAGTTACAATTCATGCTGCATGTTCTTGCTCGATAATTAACATGGTTATCAGTCAGTAGTTTTTTTCGTTATGTATTATTAATCTGTAAGTAGTCTAAATACATAGTGAATCTTTTTCACAAGCCTTATTGTCTGGGCAAGGAATGTCTGTGTACTTACAGAGCGTTTCTAATCATTAAGGCTAGAGAAACTTCTGTGTTAATCATCGGACGAATACTGTTATTCGTTCGACTTCAAATCAGAATACAAAAACTTTTAACCAAGTAATTGATCAACAACACGCTAATGGCTATTATCATGATTTCTAACCATAACTTTGTTCAACTGTAGTTCGACCATGGTGAACGGACGCATACCTTCAGTCTTTTCCAAGACCTATGTAACACCCAGAAGACCATATGAAAAGGCCCGTCTTGACCAGGAGTTAAGGACCATTGGTGAATATGGTCTTCGCAACAAACGTGAAGTGTGGAGAGTCAAGTACACCCTTGCCAAAATCCGAAAAGCTGCTCGTGAGCTGCTGACACTGGAGGAGAAGGATCCCAAGCGTCTTTTTGAGGGTACGATCATTTTTGTTTTATATTCGCCTTGAGTTTAATGTAAGCTCGAAATAATGATGATATTTTTTTATTTCTGACACCTCTTATCTGAATATATTTTGAAATGAGATTTAACAATCTGATAATTTTACACGATAAAGTAAGAGGTACTTGTTATTGAGTTCAAGTAGTGTAACATTCTGGGTTTTTTTTGTTTGTAGGTAATGCCCTTTTGAGAAGGCTGGTAAGGATTGGTGTGCTTGATGAAGGCCGCATGAAGCTCGATTACGTGTTGGGCTTGAAAATTGAGGACTTCTTGGAAAGACGTCTTCAGACTCAAGTTTTCAAACTCGGCTTGGCCAAATCCATCCACCACGCTCGTGTACTCATCCGACAGAGACATATTCGGTTAGTATACTCAATGGACATTAATTTAGCCTTATTGTCTGGGCAAGAAATGTCTGTATTTACAGAGCGTTTCTAATCATTAAGGCAAAAGAAATTTCTGTGTTAATCATCGGATGAATATTGTTATTCATTCGACTTCAAATCAGAAAACAATTGCATATTACACAATTTTTTTACCAGCAAATAATTTAAACATATAACATTTTAGTCTCGTAGCAGATTGAAGAAATATGGTTCTTCAGAGGAAGCTACTTGATAGTACCTCTTTAAATGATGTTATATTGAATCAACAAGATTCATACAGGCCACTTGGGTATTAAACATATGTTGTTACCTAATGTCTGAACAAAGTTCTGGAATAGCCATCCAACTTATTTCATGCAGACCACTTGGGTGCTAAACTATGTTTAGCACTTAACGTCTGTTTAAAAAATGTGTTGGGATTGTGGTCCATGCATTCTATTGATACTATTGTTGTATGTGTTTTTTTATAAAGATTTCCTAAGTTTTTTTTTTAACTAAGACATTATGTGATGTTGACAGCATGAAATACAAAACTAAAGTTGACTTGAAAATTCTTCCTTTGACAAACAAATCGCAATTTCAGCGTTCGCAAACAAGTGGTGAACATTCCATCATTCATTGTCCGCCTGGACTCTCAAAAACACATCGACTTCTCGCTGAAGTCGCCCTTCGGTGGTGGCCGTCCTGGCCGTGTTAAGAGGAGAAATCTACGCAAGGGAACTGGTGCTGCCGCTGCCGAGGAGGACGAAGATTAATTTATACGTTTATGAACAGGAGTTATGTTCAAGTAAAATAAAGTGAAAGTCTTTTAAAATCTGCCTTGTTTTGTGTATACCGTTGTGAACATCCTCAAGTTCCATTATTCCTCAGGATCTTGATAATTTTTTAATCATGCAGTTTTTTAAATTATAATTTTCACTTTGTATTTTATTACATACTTTCTCCAAGTCAATTGCAATAAACAGTAATAACCTTTTTTTTTAATGGTCATGCATGCCTGCAAAGAAGAAAACTATCGTAAATGTTAAACCATCGGTTCGTGACTACACGGGATAAGCTCGTCGCAATCGTGATCAATTTATGCAATTGGCCGTAAGATACCATTACCGGAATCGCAGGTATCCACGTATAAGTGAGGAAAGATCAGCAGTAGGTAAACACGAAGGGTTTAGCGCTAGAGTCTTAGCCATGGGGTAAAAAAGTAACGGTTGACCAACTTAGCGAGTCCTTAATTTAATACTCGTTATTCACTTTCTATTATGTACTAGGCAGATCCACAAGTAGGTGTATGTCAAGTAAAAGAAAACATTTGAGCATAAGTAATGGAAATAAAATACGTTGTTTCATGGCATTTTTACGAGGATGACCACAATCGAAGCTGAAAACTAGTTATTAACGTGTTTCTAAAAACATACGTGAGGAATACTCCGCAACAAGCTTGTGCTTAAGAGTTGATGGGTAAGCCGTTTATTAGAAAGTCGAATCGATGACGCGGTCGTTTGATCGACCACTTTTGCCATACCACAGCTGTGGGAGATAAACTTTTAACAATAATCGTATGGTTTTACGCCATGCAATGATGACTTTTATTATATTCTGTTATTGCAAAGTAGCACTTAGATTTTTTTCCTTAAATGAAACGAATTTTTACGTGGAATAGCCTTGTGATCTTTTGATTAGTGCGTGTTTAACGTAACAACGCAGAAAAAAATATCGGAGTCTCTCCCTTATCACTTTCAATTCGCGTGTGGTACCGTATATTATATAGTAAAAAATAAACTGCCCAACAGCGTTGTGCGGTCTAGTGGCGCGCGACGTGGAAAATCCTTTTTCAAATTCGCTCCAAGTGAATGTAAAAAATCAAAATTCATATCGCGGACTCTCGAGGAAAAAAAAAAAAAAAAAAACAAAGAACACAATCAAATCAGTGCAGTGCACTCGACACTCATGCGTGGTATCTATGTTACTCGCGAAACAAAAAACACGCCCAGCCGCATAACTGGGCAGGGCTATCGATATGATACCGATTGTGCGTGTATATACGTATTGAAACTCAGCGAAAGGTGGCCGTAGGAGCTCTTAATATAATAGTGCCGCGGAAAGGCCGCCTTCAAAGGTTTCCTTTAATTTTATCTTCTAATTTCACCTTTCTCCTCTCCCTTTCTGCGTCGAAGCCCGCGCTTGTGGGGCTTCCGAGGGGCCTCATTTGCGGTGTACATCTCCCGTTGTTGGATATGCTGTTGGGTACACATAAGGTTTAATTGCGGGTCATCGATTCTCCTCGTTCTCGTTTCTTTTACAGCCTATACCCATACACGCACACATGTGTATATATTTACCGCAGTGCACTGCTGCTTTTATACCTTTTCAACGCGTTGAATAATGAATTCCGCACGTATAAGCACCGATTTTTCTTCCAATTAACATTTTCACGCGCGAAAAATAATGTACACGCGCGCGAGCTTATCTGCAGGTAATACTCGTACGCTTCGCTACCTCTGTGTAATTCGAAACTCTCGTTACAAGCGTATCCAATTCATCTTTGCTCGTTATGTATGTACAGACGATTCCCTTATTCTGTTTGACGCGTTGTATACGCGCGGTATATCTGATCGGTCTCCGAAAGTAGAAAGTGGGAATACACAGTGTACGCGTGGTTATCGAAAATCGGGAAATCGGTAATAGTTTGTACAGGCATCCAGGCAACGCGCAGTTCCGTATACACGTGAAATGGATTTAATTTTAATTAATTATTTTATACGTGATGTAACGAAAATTGCGTGAACAAAAGCAGAGACGTTAATGAAGTCAATGAGGCTGTACGTTCTGGCGCCCATTGAAAGATACATCCCATAGATCGGCGATCGAAAGATATACAAGGAGAGTCTTTTCAATTTGTCGGGCTTGTTTTTTTCCTTACTTTGTGAGTATATATAATATAATGTTTCGTGAGACTGGGTTTTTATCTTACGTAATCGCGTTTCGGAGTTTCATTCAGCGGAAGTTGATTTATCTAAATGCACGTGGGTATAAATACCGATCACGAGTGCATTAATATGCTCGCGAGGAGCTTATATTATGGCTCTATTGATGGATGTACTTTATCACTTTGTAGGCAGTGAATGCCAATGCGTGTTGGTATGTATACCCGTATTAAATCACGTTTGGTATCCAATATTCCTCCATCAATGGTATCATAGGACCTTACAAGGGTTAATCTACGCGTATCAATGAATCGTTGATTTCCTAAAAAATTTATTCATACGAAAGCGGTATAACAGTGACGCACAGCTGGTGTTTGACATCGTGAACTGATAATCGAAAGCAACAAGTACATACCATCCATTGTAATGAGAAAGGGGATCAATGTTTATCTCTTACGTGCAATTCAATGGAGCTTCGGCGAAGGCATGTAACATAATTGCGTTTGCACAATGGTGCACGCGTCGAAGCTGTCAGTGTATACAGAAATAGCGTGCTGCATGGGCTCTATACAAACGGGTGAGAAAAGATAGCGAGAGAGATAAAAATTTATGTAGCGCTAAGACCCCCTTTTTCAACGCTTATTGTATATAGCGAGACAGTCACCGAGGAATCCGGTCGACCTTCGCATACTCAGCCTCGGGGCTTTAAAGAGAATCTCGCGTCCGATGGTGTTTATGTCTCGTGCTCCCTATTATATTATTCTTTTCGTGTGTGCACACGAGAGTTCATTTGGCAAGGCGATTTTTTTTCGTAAATTTGTCGGTCGTGAATGGAATTTCACGAAAGAGAGACCGGCCATCGCGAGGATTTGCATTTGAAGTGTGTCGCGTGTGTATTATAATACAGTCGTGCTTTGGTGAAAGGCCGCCCGATCTTTCTTTTCATGTTTTCCTTTGGCCGCGCGGGTATGCCGATGAATTTTCCCAATAATAAGCATGTAACGCACACATCCGCAAGAAAGTCCGTGAAAAATCTTCAACCCACAAGTACAGCCTGTGGGTTTTTATTTCAAACGAAACACGTGTGAACGTAACACTTGGAAAGTCGTCGATTTCTCGAGAAATCGGGAAAAATTCCAAACAAACACGCTTCGTCGAGGTACAAGAGAGGAGCAAAACAATGATTTCTCATTACCGATCGATCGACGTATCGGTATGCGAGTATAGGGTACATAATATACATGCTGTTAAAATGAGAAAAGATGTAGCACGTAGCACGTGTACCTAGTTGGTAAGTTGTGAGAGAAGACGATTGTTCGAGCAAGTGCGTGTGTATATATCCATGCATAATGTAAGCCAAGGCACTTGGTATTCGATTAATAAGCGTCGACAGTGGTGGCGCACCGATTTTCAATGCTATGCTGATTCGTCGCGGCCTCTTTTCTCTTGCCTTCCAGCTATACACGTCTCCCTCTTCTGAATTTGCGCAAGATATTTTATGCACCTTTTATCCTCTCCGCAACAGACAGTCTATGTATACATAATGTGTATATATTATATGTAAGTCGTCAATGTCGTCACTCGGGATTTCTGTACCATAGCCGAACACCAATGGGAGCGTGTTCCTGGAGGGGGGCAGCTAAAGTTCGAAAAGGGTACTTTCTTTGCTCTGCTTTTTGTTACTCGAGCAACGTTTCCCCACTCCCTGAGCGACATTTCGGGTATACGTGCACAGTGTCTATTTTGATTGAAAACAGCCGATTTACCCCCTTACCCACCCCTTGGTGAAACGTAATAACTTTCTCTAAGACTATTTTTTTAACAGATCGATTTACCAGTGTGTATCGAGACGCAATAAAAAAAAAAAAACAACGCCTTGCGTGCGTATGAAACTTTTTTTTTTTTCCTCCGCAACCCCCTACGTAAGACCACAAAAAAAGTAGGCTCCGAAGCACCAAACACCCTCTACCATCACCACTAGCGTATAAAATACGGGAAAATTCTCCGGAACCATTCGCTCGAGTATATGTATTCTTACATCGGTCGGACGCTCCATTCGACCCCTCGAGGGGACACCTTCCCGTACACGACGCACAACGCAGGTGTAGGGGAGTTTGCCAAAGAGGACGAGCGCGACGCGTGTATATATACACGTTCGAGGAAAAGAGACACCCGAGCTAAAAGCGCGCGTACACGGGCGCGACGACTGCTCGTGGCGAGGCTCATTGTTCCGTCGCGAGACACCCTCGAGAGACTACTCTCTTTTTTTTTACTTCCCACCTCCCACCCCACCTTTTTTACGTCTTCTTCTTCCTCGCGTATACGCAGCGAGAAAAAGGAATATATTCCTCTCCCATCGACACCGAGAGCTCCAGAGGAAAGAGCCTCCAGGGAGGGATGCTGTCGCTGTGTATGTACGTACATATAGGCCGCGCGGCTTTAACGCTGATGGAAATGACCGAGCTTGCCTCGCATAGGATCGCTTTCGCCTTACCGGCTCCTCTGGGCGAGATTCTTCCGCCGAGAGCTTTTACGGCTGTACTGCGTGTTACCTTCTCACGCGGTTATGACAAAGCCATAGATGCATTGGGGACGACTTGGATTGCCAAGGTGGACCATCAGGGCCGCGAAATTTTCCTTCGACTCGATACAAGTTGGAACAAAGTGCAGCGCAACGCGTTGGTATAGGTATATCTTTTACGATCGGCCCTTCGAGTAGGGAGGCCAGAAGCTTACGGTTCTCGGCTAATGTTTCCAAGTGCGCGTTGGGGGGGGGGGGGCAGTTTTCCATGAAGCACCGGAGCAGAGCATTTGACGCCAAAGGGTAGGGGGTGTGCGCAGCGGATTCCCCTCGCTCTTTGGTAATAGCGACTATGGGGCAGAGAGGAGG